GGACTGGTCGCTGGTGTCAGCGGGCCATGCGGGGCTGCGAGTGGGCTCTGCTTTCCTGCAGCCTCTCCCTGGTTTTCTCGGCAGCTTTCATCTTTCCAACCTCAACCCGCAGACTTTAAGACCGTGCTTTTACCAGTTCCCCTGCCTGCGGGGATTAAAGAAAGGAAAAGAAAAGAAACCACCGATTTGAGTGTAGGAGAAACACCTTAAGAATAACTGCGCTGGTCCGTTCACTGGAGAGTCTCCCCTGCTTTGCATTTCCCTTACTTTTCGACGATTGAATGGCCAAGTTAGTCGTAAGGAAACGTCAAGGTCAGCGGCGTGAGCAAATTAGATCTCTCTCCAATGTGGGTGCTATTCAATGGAGGTTCTGTACGCGGCCGAGATCATTGCACTTTTGTGTCGGGGATGGTGGGGTGGGAGACTTGGCCCAATGGGGGCCTGCTGGTAACTAGTTTGTGTGATGGTTTAGGTGGGTCTCATCCGATTCTGTACTTGTGAGATGGGTGATAAGGATACTAGCTAATGTGTATAGACTGCTAATTATATGGATGTTGTCTATGGACTTTTTTTAAAATATGGGTTTTCACATTTAATCTTAATAACCCCAAGGCAGTTCTCTTTTTCTTAATTTTCTTGCTCACTCCCCCTGCCCCTTTTTTTTAAACATGAGGAAATTGGAGTTTTATTGATGTTGTACAATTTGTCTAGGAGCCCTAGTGGTGCTGTCCAATAATCATTGGGCTACTAACTGCAACGTTGGCTGTTCGAACACACCAGCTGCCGCTCAGGAGAAGGATGAGACTGTCCTTATGAGGATTTGCAGCCTGGGAAGCCCGTATATAGGGTTACTATGAGTTGGCAGTGGGTCTGCTTTAAGTCACTCTGCTGGCCTTTGGTGGAGCTAAGATTTGAACCCTGTGGATTGCTGTAGACTCAGGCTCATGCACTTGACCACTGTGTCTTGAAGACATCTAATTGCCCCCAGGGGTGCTGGTTCTCCTGACCTCCAGTGTATGTTTTCCGAAGGGAAAAGTTATGTGTACACACTGGTTGATGATGGGAAGTAAGAGCTGAATTCAGGCTTCACAGTGTGTGGCTCAGTGTTGCTTTGTGCAGCAGCTGCATGGAGACTTTTTTTTTTTTGCATTTTCAGTAATTTTAATTTAAGCCATTCTATAATAGATCACCATGGTATACATTTTCCTCATGGCTCAATCACCAACCATCTCTCAGTAGAGACATGCACGTTCCCATCACACTGAGCAGGTTTCAGTAGGGTTTCTAGTCTAAAACGGGAAGCAAGGCCTCCCGAGAAAAAGTCACACTCGGCACCGTCAAGTTGATGCTGACTCAAATTGTCCTGTAGAGTTACAGGACAGGGTAGAACTGTCCCTGTGAGTGTCTGAGACTGTAACTCTTTACAGCAATAGAAAACCCCATCATTTTCCCTTGGGGCGGCTGGTGATTTCGAACTGCTTGCCTTGTGGTTAGCAGCCCAATATGTAACCACTGTGTCACCAGGGCTCCGTACTGTATAAGCAGCTCCCAAAACTCTATGGATTTCAGTAGTCCAATTCCATCGTACTGGGTTAGGGAACAACTGATAATGGCTAATCCTGCTCCGTGTCTTTTCATGTGTTTATTTGCCTTCCATAGAGCCTTTTGGTGAATTGTCTATTCAAGACTTTTGCCCATTCCCCCACTCCTTTCTCTTTTTTAAAAATACAATTCCTTTTAAAGGTTTGCAGAGCAGATCTGTTTCCCGTTCAACAATCTATACACATTTCGTTTCATCTCATTGGTTGCAGTCCCCACGTATCCCATATCCTCCCTGTATGTCCTGTTCCTGTTCTGTCTCCTGTCCGAACCATTCTGAACTTCATGCAGACTTCTTTTATTATTATTATTTTAATTTAAAAAACAATTGAGAATTTAAAAGTTTTACTTGCAGGGCAAGGGAAATGTCTATGGTCCTGGCGGTCACATGGAATTAGCCGCCTGTTGAACTCTCCACAAAGAAGAACCATGCCCATTTCACATTGCTGGACATTAGGCTAGATTAATCAAAAGTGACATGTCATATCCTAAACACTGGAGTCAGAATTATGAAGTTTTTTGTCATGGCTGTGCGAGACCTTCAGAGTCTAACACGATTACTATAACTGGCAGGCATAGGAAAAGGCCATCCTTGACTTCAGTCCTTTGGACGTGATTTTATACATCAGTACCCTTAAACCACCATTCTTGCTTGAATTTAGCCGGTCACTAACTGACATGAACAAGCTCACACAAGGCTGTACTTGCCCACCAGCCAAAAATTCAGCAGCTGCCAGCATAAAGTGAGTGCTTACTTGTGTGCTAACTTACCCACCTATGAGCTAGGTAAGATTATTGGCAGCAGAGTTGGAAACAGAAGGTCAGAAAGATTAACGTGATTAAGTTTGCAGCTTATAAGTTACAGAGCTGGGATGTCAACCTAGGTCTTCTGACTGGAGAACCCAGCCCTTTACTAAGTTCAGGTTGAGCAGCATCACTGTCTTTGTTGTATAGTATTCTACTGCCAAGAGTTTAGGATGTTGTAGCTGTTGGATACTTTTCTGGGTATTTCAGCTCTCTTCTTGAATATCATTGTGGGTAGAAGTAGTAGGGCTATGGGAGATTCATCCCCCCCCCTTATTAGCGGCTCATACAATTTATCACAATCCATACATACATCAATTGTGTAAAGCACATTTATGCATTCATTGCCCTCATCATTCTTAAAACATTTGCTCTCCACCGAAGCCCTTGGCATCAGCTCCTCATTTTTTCCCCTCCCTCCCTTCTCCCCCCTCCCTCATGAACCCTTGATAATTTATAAATTATTATTTTGTCATATCTTGCCCTGTC